TCCAAATCTATAAAAATTGGGCCCGGGCCCCGAGAGTCGACGTGTGCTGCCGAATTGAAGTGATGCTAGCGCGATCAGAATGGTATTGGCTGGTATTGGTTCCAGAAAATGCATCCAAAGATATATTACAATCACCGTGCGCTGTTGCCAGTAATTGCATTCGTAAAGTAATTTAATGATTTCTTGAAAAACGTATTTTATCTTTAAATATTTGAATTATTACAAATCAATTTAAAATATGATTATGTAGTTTTAATTACTGATAATAAATTTTAGATTTTAGGGGATGCAATGCATCCCTTGCATCCATGCACCGCACGCCCCTGATATATATATATATATATATATATATATATATATATACTTGAGATATAAAAAATAGTCCTCTAGAACAGCCCCATTTATTGATTTCAACCCACCGAAACGAATATATAAAATATATATATATATATATATATATATATATATATATATATATATATATATATATATATATATATATATATATATATATATATATATATATATATATATTTATCAAATTATCGACCGTACTGTGTTAAATATTATTTGTAGTCTCAGCAATTGGTCTGTGTGAAATAAAACTCTATTTGTTATTTCTCAATATTTCGTCACGATTTTGTGACTTCTTCAGGAGAAAACTGTAAATTTATTATAATTATTATATGTAAACAAAATGAATATTTCAATACTTACAACTTAAGATTAAAAATTTTAAATTTTGATAACATATATAAAATCTTAAGTTGTAAGTATTGAAATATTCATTTTGTTTACATATAATAATTATAATAAATTTACAGTTTTCTCCTGAAGAAGTCACAAAATCGTGACGAAATATTGAGAAATAACAAATAGAGTTTTATTTCACACAGACCAATTGCTGAGACTACAAATAATATATATATATATATATATATATATATATATATATATATATATATATATATATATATATTCTTAGAAAGGGCTTTAGTGACTATGTGAGTAATATATACGGATATATTGGGTTTAGTAGTCAATATATTGGCCTTTAAGTAAAACTTAATGAAGAAAAATGAAGATGAAAACTTAGAAAAATGGAAAAGTTACAGATAATATGGCTAATGACCAAATGAAAATTTAATGCAATTGCAGAAAAGTTTATATATGTATTGTATTTCCAGCTGAAAATGAAATTCAAGCCAGGATAAAAAAGCGACCCAGGATAAAAATACATTGGTTTTGTAATTGAATTCAGTAGCTAAAATTTTGACTGATTTATAATTCATTGTTACAACGATAAGCGATGTTTTGATAGAATCCCATGCCTTAAAAAAGAAAAGGAAAATAAGTATTTGCCGACAACGTTAGAAAACGAAGCTTTTAGGTTTATTGGGATTTTTCAGCAGTGAAATAAGTGTACTCTTTTAACTAAGGTTCAAGCTTTCGAAAATGTTTATTGTCATCGTCAGGAAAAACTGAAAATAAAATGCTACTGTTAGTAAAGCATCCTCGAAATCTATTAAGTGAGAAAATTGTATAAAGAGAAGGAACACTTACGTTATTGAGGTTTATCTTTCGTGGATGTTCTACTTACAGGTGACAATTTTACGCACCACTCATTGATTGATGTGATTATTAGTCAGGATGTTGTTTCATTATTCACCAATGTACATTTAATGCAGCTTTAATAGCTATTGAAAACAATTGGAATTTTATCAGTTCTCACTGTAATATCAGCTTGAAGTATTTTAAAAAACTTATCTCCTCTCTTTTTAATAACAACTATTTCACATTCAACAATACTGTGTTCAGACAAACACAAGGAACTCCTATGGGCGGTATTATCTCTCGGTTTTCTAGAATTCTGTAAAAACTAATAAGTATTTTTGAAAAATTTAAACAAAGAGTGAAAGATTATATTATTACCGAGGGCAGAAAGTCCCTGAAAATTTCTATGTCTATTTTAATAAGTTACAGAGTTGAAAGGACAGAAAATTTATTGTGATTTTTAATTTCAAATATTTCATTCAAAAGAAACTTTTTATTTATTCTAAGGGAATTTAGGCTCTGGGTAATATTGAAATATTTTATTCTGTATTTAAAGTTATCAAAAATATTAATTAGTTTTCTCAGGATTTGATAAAAAATGCATAAAAATGAAAGTTAAGTTTCAATCTTATATGGCATTTCAAAGAATTGCATCATATTAAAAGATATACCGCGCGGCTCTGCAGGGGTGAAAACAAAGAGAAAATTTAGTATGATTTTTCATTTCAAATACATACAATAATGTGCTCTTTCATTCGGCGTTTAAATTTTTCAAAAATACTCATTAGTTTTCGCATGATTCGAAAAAAATGAATGCATTTAAAAAGCATTTGACCAAAATTTTCATAAGTATGATACATTGTTGTAACCAGTATTTCAAAAGAGTTTAAATGAGGTATCACATGATGTCTGTACTTTCCAATTTAAAAAAATCATAGTTACGACTGTAACCTGAAGAGGGATCGCGTAAAGTTCGAAACCTTTATGTTATAATAATATATGATGTGTGTGTGTGTATGTGTGAATTCTACAAAAAAACGGACTCGTTAAATTAAAGCATTTATTTAAGATAAAATTTAATGTGATGGTTGACACTGACGCAAACTATCAACAATTTTAGATAAATCTGGTACGTAATTACTACAAGCTACTCTCAAAACATCGTTATAATGAATTACAAAAATATCTAATATAATCGTATTTTTTAAATTTAAGATTTTATAAATACATAGGTCTGTAGATAAAGTCAAAAATTCTTAGTTAGTCTTCGGGCCGCATAAAAAATGCCCGAGGGCCGCATGCGGCCCGCGGGCCGCAGGTTGAGTATCACTGCTCTACATAATACATGATACACTGTCGTGCACTAAATAAAAAAATTTAATAGTAACCAACTGAGTATCCCTATCACAGAAAAGGTAAAGCAGAAACTTGTTCATATAACAAATATGGCAACATGGCGTTCAAACACACTGTCTACACCATCGAGCAATAAGACAAAAGAGGGAATGTAAAGGTAGAAGGGGTAAACATATTGATAGACAGGAAGTGCCATCTTGAGAGGCCACTTTAGACAAGGATAGACAGTCTCTTTCCTTGTTTAAGTAGTCAAATTTAGTTTGGTTATGTTATTGTTTGTCCCAACTGTCACATGAAATTTTATTTATATTGAAGTTTTTTACCAATTATGTCACTTTTTAGACTATTATCGTGAATATTTAATTAAAACTTTCTAGTCTGAAAAATATTTTATAGCTATTGTTAACAAATGTTGGAAAATTTAAATTTAGCGCCTTTGCATTTCCGGATGTGTCCGCCATCAGAGGCCACTTTTTTGGTCTCCTTTTTATAACGATTAGATTCCCTCTTTTGTCTTATTGCTCGATGGTCTACACAGCCATACTTGTGGCATCCCACAGATGGGAAACACAGATATTTGTTACGGATATATTTGTGGCATCTTTTTCACACAGTTTCTGATTACAAGATAATTGTGGAATCCGGTGCCACAATTATATTCGTCGATAATATTCATACCATGGAGTGTATCGAAATAATTCCTATCCATAAACACTCTGCTCGAAGGGTGCCAGTATCATAGTATGTTTACTTCGATTTGCCACAATTGAGGATATAGTATGCGATGCCACAAATATTGCGAAACGTGTATAGGTGTGTGTGTGTGTGTGTGTGTGTGTGTGTGTGTGTGTGTGTGTGTGTGTGTGTGTGTGTGTGTGAATGTGTAAACATTTTTATTCAGAATCGGATTTGACTTACTGATATCAGTTTCAAGTTCCTGTGAATTCCTAAAGGCAGCTTTACATCTAGGCTATGCAAGTCTCATGCTATGCAAGTCCGTCTTGCATGGCACATCTCTTGCCTAGCTTGACCTTTTTACATCAGAGATATTTCTGTGCAATTTTAGATCCCACTTTCATTGTTGCCAACAGAGAAAATATTTATCAATTTGAGGTTATTTTATTTTAAATAAAAAATATAATTAAGTACTAAAATAAATAATATAATAAATAAATATACACTATTTATGGTTATTAAAAGAGTGAAGGATGTCAACCAAAGAAAAGAAAACATTGTTATTGTTGAATATTGCTGTTGTAGCAACAATCATCCATAGTCAACGACTCACCCAGTCGTTTTTACATTAACTTTAGACATAGTATATCTATTTATCACCACTTAATAAACTTAATTTAAATCAAAACACAACAATTAACATTTGGGTTGAGGGACGCTAAAGATAGAGATAAGGTTATGTTTTATTCTGTAATCTATTATAAATTGTTATGTTGGCAACATGAATTTTAACGATAAATTGCAAGAAAATTGCATGAAAAATAGAACATGTTCTAATTTTTCGTCTAGCACAGGAATTTCATGGAAATAGCCCGTGGGCATGCGCAGTTCCATGATCTGTCTTGCATGGCTCTTGCCTAGCATGAAAATAGCATAATGTAAAACTGTCTTAAGTTGTTTTAGTAATTGCAAGGCCAACGTAAAATTTGTCCTGAATTAGAAGATTTTTTATTATGTTACATATTATTTTTTACATCGAAATTCATAAAATTTTTACTATAAAAAATAAATAATTTATTTTTATATCTAATTTGCTAGAAAGTATGCAATATGCTAAACAACAAATAAATAAGCTAAACAACATAAAAATATGCCAAATCTAGCATAAAATAAGCTAAATTGGCAACGCTGCCAGTCGTCCAATCAGAAGATGGAATCCAAGGTGGTAATTAGCCTCTCGTCTTTCGGTAAACTCGGTAAACACTCAACCGCCATATGCATAATGCTGTCACGTGTCACAACAGCAACCAGCAACAAACATAACACATATGACATAACACGGTCTGTGAAACATACATAACAAATACTTTGATTCTTATCCTAACAAAAATCTGCTCTAATTTGTGCTATCAGCTATGGAAGTAAAAATTAAAATTAAGGAAGAGTTTGTGGAAGGTCACCTAAAATATATAAAGAGTCAGTTATGCTTAACCACAAATCTTGAAAATTTGAAGAGTGAACCAGAAAACAATTCAGGTAGTACAAGAAGTAAGATTAATGCTAAACAATGTGAGCTAGCTGAAATTAAGGAAGGTTTTTTTGAAGGTAATCCAAGATATATACAGAGTCAACTATCCTCATCCACAAATCTTGGAGATTTTGGGAATAAACCAAGAGACAATTCAGGTAATACAGGTAATAAAATTAGTGCTAAACAATGTGATCTAATTTGTATTTATTAGGTATGGAAATTAAAAATGCGATTAAGGAAGGACTTTTTGAAGGTGATCCAAAATATATTGAGAGTCAGATATCCACATCCACATATCTAGAGGATCTGAAAAATGAGTCAGAAGATAACTCTGGTAAGACAAGGAATTATTGTGTTATATGTTTAGTTGTTACATCAATATTATCTGATTGGTTGATTACATATGTTTTATTTAAAGAGGAGAATCCTTTAAAATTTACTGGATAGTAAGTAAGCTGTCTTACTTAAATGTATTGTCTCTTTTTTTGTGAGCCAATTTTGTAATTTATTCAAGATCACAAATACAAATATTCTTATGTCTAAGGATATGATGGCAATATTAATATATATTTTATAAAAAGCTTTATAATTATATTAGAAGTTTTGTCAAACAGGTATTTTGATAATGTATTTCAGATATTATAATCACACCAATAAGTTTTGTTTGCTAAGTTTTGTCACTAGTATCTGTGGTTAATCTGTGAGCATAATGTGGTCCAAATATAGCATGTAAGAATAATTATTGTTTTCAAGTATAGAAGTTTTTCATTTTGACTAATGAGTCATATATTCAGTTATATCAAATATCTGCTAGGTATAACTGTGGTTCTACTGTTTTTTTTTTTTAAATTTATTTAATACACAGAATAACCCCATTAACAGTTTAAATTACAATATACAATATCACAGTTAGGATTCAAAACTTGAAATTACATATAATATAAAATCAATATTAAAAAGTTAAAAAAAAATAAACTAAAAAAAAAGTATAACAACAACAAAATTCAACAATCCCAATATACATATCACAAAGCAAGAGATCTTTTTAACTGAGTTAAAGTTATATTGAAAATATCAAACTCACAATCATTAAATAGTCCCATATATCTATCCAATGGGTTGTGAATACCATAGGTTGTTCTGTGAAAAGGAATATTGAAAACATTGTGGTACTGTAGAGCTTGATGGGGAACATTAAAGTTATTCTGGCTTAACAGGTTTGGACAATCAATAAATCCATGTATGATCTTATATATAAATATAGCTCCTGACATGTCATGATGGTTCTTGAGTGAGGGTAAAGATAATTGTTGTTCCATACAGAAATAATTATGATTTTCAATAGTAGTGTGGATGTGGTAAGCCCAATATTTCAAAAATTTATGCTGGACTCAATATTTTTCTGAAAATATGGTGACCAATAACTAAACAGTATTCCAAAATATTTCTAACTAAGCAACAATACACTAATCTTGTTGAATTAATGGAAAAATACTTGCAATTTCTAGTAACGAAACCAAGAAGTTTAGATGCTTTATTGAAATAGAATGTGGTCACAGAAAGTAAGCTTCTCATCGAAGATAACACCCAAATCCTGAATAGAAGAAACATAATTCAGTAGCTGATTATTAATGGTATAGCTTGTTCGAATTCCATTGTTTTTTATTATTTTTATGAGAAAAACGTAAAAAACAACATTTTTTTACATTTAAGTGGAGTTTTTTCTGATTGCACCAATTTTGTAGTCTCAGTCATCTTGTAGCAAGGCTTGATCTTTTAAACTGTCTATAACTTTCCAAAATTTCAAGTCATATGCCAACATTAGACATTTGCTATTTAGGAAACAGGAAGTGATGTCGTTAACGAAGATATTGAAAAGAAGTGGAAAAGAGTGACCTCTTTGAGGAACTCCAGATGTTACTGTAATACTGTCAGATAGATGACAACCTATCTTGACTCTTTGATTTCTCCCAGATGTAGGGTTTTTAATTCGTTCAACAAACCTGACATAAAGCCTACATTAATTAATTTGCCCAAAGGTATTTGGTGATCTACACGATCAAATGCCTTGAAAAATCAGTGTATATTGCATCTACCTGTTTATGGTCTTGCATATGAGATAATATATCAGATTGATAGCAAACCAAATTTGTTGCAGTGGATTTTTTGCTATGAAAACCATGTTGTGATTGAGATAGTAAGCTTCTTTACATAACCAAGAAAGTTGCTTTGCTATAAGACTGTCGAAGAGCTTAGGATTTGCAGATTGTATACAAATGCTACGATAATTTTCAATACTGTCTTTCTGACCATTTTTAAATATAGGAACAACATAACTTTCTTTCCATGAAGAAGGAAACAGAGGTTTCCAGAGGTGTATTAAACAATATAACAAATGGAAGTTTTTAGTATAATTAGGTATATCTATCTTCCATCTTCCATATTGTGGTATTTATTTATTTATTTTCTCTAGAAACTGTGTATTCTGACTAAGGTCTATTGTTAGGATTTTCAGGTCACACAAAAGCTCCTAATGTGACTATAATAACCACAGTTGACTGCTTTACAAAACTAATATGCACTTAAATTAGAAATTTATAGTTTTAATGCAGAGCCCTCTGGCTTGGCAAGCCAGTATTACAGCCAGTGAGCTAAGGTCATCACTATAAAATAGAAAGTTTTTACTTCTAAAATTGCTATAATGGTAGTAAAATCCTTCCCAATTGTTAAATATGCCTCGAATAATTTTCAACAAGGAATGTTTTAATAATACACAGGCACAGAATAATAAACAATCAGAATGCCCACTCTCAGATGCCACCTTTGAAGTTTTTCAGCACGCGATCGTCATGTTTTAAAAGGAATTAAAGGAAACATAGACTCGAATTGACAAATTTGTGACAAGCTATGACAGAACTATAATTTAAATTTTTAGAAATTGATAATTTAGTACATTTGAAATAATTTAATTTATTCTTCAACTAAAAGTATGAATAAAATAGTGCATATTATGTCTGTAGTTGCCGTAAATAAATTAAACCAGGTTAATTTGTCTATGCACACCAGATAAATTTTCACTGAACAGCACTGGTTTCCTTTAAAACATGGCGGAGCGTCTGCGTGAATGAGACATGTGTACTTAATTTTCCATGGAGAGTGGGCATTTTGATTGTTTATTATTCTGTGACACAGGAATGTGCCTAAGAGACAAAACATTCACATGTAAAATTGTTTCTCAAATTTTCATTTCAATTGATATTTTGGAAATCATAACATATAATGTGTTACCTAATATAATCCGTGTTAATTGGCACAACATAGTGCACTATATGGTGCCAATAGACATGGATTTTTAAAATTTTCTCTTGTATTCTATTAAATATTTTCTTTTATTTTAGGGTCTTTCTGTGATCAGAACACATTGGAATTTATGGAAACAATATCTCAACATACATCTAAAAAAGAATGTGTGGTCCAACCAGATGAAGAAAAAGAATGTGAAACTTATATTAATCAGATTGGCAATAAAAGTTATTTAAACAAACATATAAACATGTGCACTGGAAAAAAGCACATTGTTTCTACTGAAGTATATAACTTGAAAGATCATATCAGAACTCACACTGGAGAAAAGCCTTACAAGTGTGAGATTTGTTTTAAGCAGTTTACTAAAGTATGTTATTTGAAACATCATGTCAGAACTCACACTGGAGAAAAGCCTTACAAGTGTGACATTTGTTTTAAGCAATTTGGACAAACAGGAAATTTGAAAAAAACACTTAAGAGTGCATTCTGGAGAAAAGCCTTATAAGTGTGAGATTTGTTTTAAGCAGTTTACTAAAGTATGTCATTTGAAACATCATGTCAGAACTCACACTGGAGAAAAGCCTTACAAGTGTGAAATTTGTTTTAAGCAATTTAGTGAAACAGACAGTTTGAAAAAACACTTAAGAGTGCACACTGGAGAAAAGCCTTACAAGTGTGAAACTTGTTTTAAGCAATTTAGTGATGCAAGCAATTTGAAAAGACACTTAAGAATACACACTGGAGAAAAGCCTTGTAAGTGTGAAATTTGTTTTAAGCAATTTTGTCAAGCAGAAGATTTGAAAAAACACTTAAGAATACACACTGGAGAAAAGCCTTATCAGTGTGAAATTTGTTTTAAGCAATTTACTCAAGCAGGAGAATTAAAAACACACTTAAGAATGCACACTGGAGAAAAGCCTCATAAGTGTGACATTTGTTTTAAGAAATTTAGTACTGCAGGCAATTTGAAAAATCACTTAAGAATGCACACTGGTGAAAAGCCTTATAAGTGTGAAATTTGTTTTAAGAAATTTGGCGTTGCAAGCAGTTTGAAAAATCACTTAAAAATGCACACTGGAGAAAAGCCTTATAAGTGTGAAATTTGTTTTAAGCAATTTGGACAAGCAGGATATTTGAAAAAACACTTAAGAATGCACACTGGAGAAAAGCCTTACAAGTGTGAAATGTGTTTTAAGCAGTTTGCTAAAGTATGCAATTTAAAATTTCATATCAGAACTCACACTGGAGAAAAGCCTTACAAGTGTGAAATTTGTTTTAAGCAATTTAGTTTAACAGACAGTTATAAAAAACACTTAAGAATGCACACTGGAGAAAAGCCTTATAAGTGTGAAATTTGTTTTAAGCAATTTAGTCAAGCAGGAGATTTGAAAAAACACTTAAGAATGCACACTGGAGAAAAGCCTTACAAGTGTGAAATTTGTTTTAAGCAATTTAGTGAATCAGGCAATTTGAAGAAACACTTCAAGAGTGCACAATGCAAAAAAGATTTAAATGTATGAAATTTGTTTTAAGCAATGTAGTGAAGCAAGCGATTTGATTGTTGTGAATTGATATAAGAATCCATACTGGATAAAAGCTTTACATCTCTGATATCTTCTTTTAAGCATTTAAAAGGTTGACTAATGCCATATTTCTGAACACAAACATACAATTTAGTGAAGCAAGTAGTTTAAAAAAACACTGGCAGAATACACACTGGAGAAAAGCAATAAAAGTGTGAAATTTATTTTAAGCCGTTTTCTAAAATCTATAATTTAAAATGAACTTGAGATTGCACACTGGAGAAAACCCCTAAAAAAAGTGTGAAAGGACTAGCACTTTTCTTATATAAAAGTTGTTTCTGTTAAATTGGCTGAAATGTTGCAGAGATTTAGCTTTGGTTATACTGATCAAAAGTTATCATTGCATCAAGACATAGAAATCAATTGTTTTTGAGTGATAGAGCATATTAAAGTCAGTTTTTAGTCAATTTTTCAAAATAATGAATTTGGAACTGGAATTAGGTACCAGGAGATCCTTTCCAGGACATCCCACCTTGTTTTTTACTAGAAAAAATTAAGAAATGTCATTCCTATACCATATTGGTGTTTATTCAGATTCAGATGCTGTACCTGGTATGTGTGGGTTGGTACATTTCCAAATTCATGATTTTGAAAAATTGCCTAAAAAATGATATTTTGAAGCTCTAGCTTCAAACAATTTCTGAGAAACAATTGATTTCTGAGTCTTGGAGCACTGAATACTTTTGATCATCATGACCCAAAATACCTATCTGCAAAGTTTCGGTCAATTTAACTGAAATACTCTTATATAAGTAAATAAAAAAACAAGAAGAATATTTGCATGAATATGACAACCAATGAGGCTAAGAGTTTGTAACTTGTGTCACATTTCATTGAGGTAATTTTTAACATTTTGGTAGCTGAGTGCTTATGTAAAATTAGATATAATCAGGAATAAAAAATAAGCATTATTTTCAATAGGGCAAAGTTAGATCTGACGTTAGCTTGACAGAGAAACATTAAATTAAAATCTGCATTGTTGGACCTCTTATTTTGGAAAATAGGGTTATTTGGTTCTTGCAGATTGGGCACTGTAACGGTTCTAAGATGTTATGAATATATTCCTTTGCATTCATGTTTCTTTTCACAAATACTATGAACGATTTGCTTGCATATGTTGTGGCACCCGAAAACACATCATTTAGTAAGCGCTTCGAAGATCAAAAGACCTTATTCATCAGTCGCGGTCACTGGTTTTGCGAACTGCTCCGGGACCTCTACGATGTTGGTGTATGTGTTCTTCCGTCGAAGTATTCTAAGATCGCATTACAGTAGTAACATTCCTACCAACCCTATTAGTGATTTCTCAAAGAGCCATTCTTAGAGGTACATAATGATAAACTGGATACTAAGAACTTAGAATGGAGAACTCTAATAATCCACCACTTAGCAAAAAAAAAGAAAACTGATAAACTGGAAAACAAGTTTATTTTGAGCAAACTTGACCTCAAACCTTGTTTAGAAAATTTTAATGTGACCTATTCCGGTTGCCTACTTGAAAACCTGCCAAAAATTGCAACAATTTTCGAGGTTTTTGAAAATTTTGTTTCTAAAGAATTCGTCGAAGAAATAGCGGTACAAACAAACATGTATTATCATTATATTGTAAGTGAAAATCCATGACAAAAAATTCAAAAACATACGTCACCAACTACCGATGAAATCTACCTGTTTTTGGGTCTTTGTCTACTCATGCCTCAAGTGAAAAAACAAAGGATAAAGGATTATTGGTCCCAAGATTTCGTAATTCAGACGCCTGCATTTGGTCAAATAATGTCCCGTGCGAGATTTTTAGAAATTTTACGATTTTTTATTTTTCGGACAACTCCAACGTTATCAGAGAAGATAGGCTGTTTAAAGGTGGGTACACATATGCTCCAAATGCCGTTTCGAACCCCGTCGCGTTCTTAAGTGTGGACGGAGTCATGCAACCGCGTACCGTACCTCGACGCGTCAACCACGTACATCGAAGCGATCCATCGGTTGTCGGTAAAATACCTACGCATCAAAAGAAATTTGAGCGCGGCAATGTACACCGCGAATTCATGTTTGGACTAGCTTGCGAATCTTTTTTCGAATCTACAGTCATTCAAAATAGTCAGTCTGTTATTTTGAAGGTTGACGGTGTTTTTAAAGTTGAGTGCATCAAAATGGAATGGACGGAAGAAAATAGTTTACTATTAATCGAAAATTCTCAGGAAAAAGAGATATTATGGGATACAAATAATCCCAGATACTACAATAAAATAAAATAAAAAAAACGATGCATGGGAAGAGATTGCTTCTAAAATGGAAATTACAGTGGATGAGTGTAAATAAAAATGGACCAATCTTCTATCTGGATTACGGAGAGAAAAAGGAAAAATAAAAAAAGTAAAGGCACAGGAACAGGTGAGTGGTTTATGAATTTTTAAAAATATAAATTTTTTGGGTAGAATTTATTTAATATATAAACATATAATGCTATTACAAAATGGGGTAGGTAGTGTAATTAAAAATCAAATTTATTTCTCTATATACTAATAACAAACATGTTAGAGACAAGAGAAAAAAAATATAATAAACTAATATTATAGATTCTTACTTTTTTAAGTAACTAGAGTTTCAAATTCAAGTTGAATTTTCAGTAGGTACCTATTAAATAATACTCACTTTATTTTTTTATTTTACAGGTCGATCAGAACTGTATGAGAGCAGCTGGTTTGCTTATAAGAGCATGATTTTTCTTTTGGATAAGGATAAAGTTCGAAATACTCAGAACACTGTAAGTATTCTTTATGTTTCTTGTTTTTTTAAAGTCAATAAAATTGTTTACGCGTAATTGTCTTGCCATGGAATTTTACCTTCTTCCTGAAAGAAATTCGCTAATTCATCTCGAATCACTTTAGCATCGGTAGGGGATTTCCTTGGTATGTTTCTCAAAGGTAGAAGGGATGACATAAGATCATTAGTTATCGTTCTATATGCTCCTTCCACAACTTTTCCATCTTTTTCGGTATCAAATGTTCCTTTCGGCGTATACAACGAACAGGAGGTTGAGCTTTTACGTAGAAAATTATGTAAATGAGCTATTGTCATTACTATGAGCGCAGCTTTTTCGGGACTTAATGACATAGGCTTTCGAAGTACTCTGAATATTGCTGAAGCAATGCCAAATACATTCTCCACAACTCTACGTGCTCGCGATAACCTATAATTAAAGATTCTCTGAACCGACCCTTTATTATGAAAGCCAGAAAATGGTTTCATTAGCCTTTCACTTAGAGCAAATGCCTCGTCACCAACGAAAAAATATGTAATTTCGCGTTGTCTTCCATCCAAAGGTTCTGCTTCAGGCAAACTCAAACAATTATTATGCAAGTTGTTGTACAAAGAACAATTCTTGAATATTCCACCATCAGAAATTCTTCCTTGGCCACCAGCGTCAACATAGAGAAAATTATAATTAGCATCAACCAATGCAAGCAAGACTATACTAAATGTTGATTTATAATTAAAGTATTCGCTCCCCGTATTCATTGGTGATTGCAATACCACATGTTTGCCATCCAGGGCCCCTAGACAATGAGGAACATTCCAAGCATCATTATACAGTTTAGCCACGTCCAACCATTTCTCGGGTGTTGTCGGTATCTGCAAAAAACAATTCGTGTAGCAACTTATACAATTTTTTTTTAGATGGAGACAATAGGTGAAGTATATGAGAGTTTGGGAGAAGATATTCCTGAAGATACAACAGCGACTCAGGATACTTTAGAAAGTCAAGAGACTGTGAAAGCTCAGGAAACTGTTCAAAGAACACAAGACAAATTCGCTACTCTAGCCCATACTTCCCGAATCCGAAAGAAAAGAGGTGCTGATGATGAAAAGTTAGACGCCGCATTTGCAGTACTAACGAAGGTTGCAAAAGCCCAAGAAGATTCAGATTGTAGTGAATATACGATCTTTGGAAAACTAGTGGCGTCCAAACTAAAAAAGTATTCCAATGCTACAGCGTCAATTGTCCAAGAAAAAATAATGGCTGTTTTATTTCAAGCAGACAGAGGAACCTTTGAACAATATATACAAAGCCCTACTTCCTCAGTACATTCTAACAATTCTTCAATATCTACATATTCCAATCCAATACCTCACTCATCTGAATCCCAATTTTCACCGCAATCCTTTCAAACAATACCATATTCCACGCCAACATATATACAGTCCCAAGCCAATGATTCCAATATAATTTCCCCGACCATGTTCTCTATAGATATGCCCAGTTTGGACTTAAATTAAATCAGTACTGAACATAATTATAAATTAAATTCTAATAAGAATAAATAAGACGTATAATTACCTGAATGTTTTTTTTTTCAATCCTTCGACTATAGCTCCACATACTTCCGGAATTATTGCACTTATAGATTGTTTCGAGATTTTGAAAAGGTATTGTAAACTAGTGAAAGAATCTCCAGTCGCCAAAAAACGGATTGTAACAGCTAACCGCTCTTGAACAGAGATAGCTTTTCTCCATTTTGTATCTTTTCGACCTATTTTTGGACCCACTAAAGTGATCAAAAATTCAAAGTCGGAAGGCGACATCCTTGTGAAATTTTTATATAACCCACTGATCGACTGAAATTTTAAATCCAAGAGTAAGTGATTGCCACCATACTTCTCCCTACTTTTATACATTTGTGTTTGCCACCATCTCCTTTCACGAATATTTTTCGTTTTATTAGAGAAACACTCGTTTTACTAGAGAAACATCCATCTTGCTGAAGCCTGCAGCAAGATGGATGTTGCTGCAGGCTGCTGCAGCAACATCCATCTTGCACATGCGAATTCAACTCAATTACTGCTGGAACGCTAAAATGTTTGGTACAAAGTACGGAGCGGTGTTCGGTTCGTTACTTATTTCAATGCCCCCTGTAACAACGTCACGAACTTTTGTTGATCGCGTCGCTGTACGCGACGGGGTTCGAGACGGTATTCGGAGCATATGTGTACCCACCTTAAGATGAGATTCATTATCGATCATTACCGACAAGTATTTAAAAAATGTATGTATCCTTTTCAAAACCTCGTGATTGACGAAAGCCTTATGCTTTTCAAAGGAAGAATATCTTTTCGTCAGTATATTCCTTCAAAGAGGCATCGATTTGGGATCAAATTTTATATTATAGTAGATTGTGAAACCGGATATATACTTGATCTACTGATATACACAGGTGCTACAACAGAAATAAAGCAGTTCGACGAAAATCTAGGAAGTTCAGGCAATATAGTAATGACTTTGATGGAGCCTTATTTTGACAAAGCACATCGTTTATACACAGATAATTGGTACACTAGTCCCATTCTGTATCAGAGTCTTTTAGAAAAAAAAGTTTATTGCTGTGGAACAGTAAGACCAAATAGAATGTTCATGCCGAAGTTTGAAAAGATTGAAAAAGGTTCGATTGATTATTTTTCAACCCAAGCTTTACTGGCTTTGAAGTGGAAGATAAAAGAGACGTCCATATGTTATATACAATCCACAGCAATAAAATAAAAACTGTGACAAATAAAAGAGGTGAACAAGTTCAGAAACCAGACACGATTTTTGAGTACAATCAAAATATGGGAGGAGTAGACAAAACAGATATGCTTCTGAGTACCACAGAAAGTGTAAGAAAAACAGTGAAGTGGTATAAGAAAGTGTTTTTTCATCTACTAGATTTAGCGATGCTGAATTCCCATGTAATATATAAAATGAAAACTGGAAATAATATTCCATTATTGGACTTCCAGAGGACTTTAGTGAATTGATAATAGAAAAATATAAAAAGGTGACACCTAGAAGTTGTACAAGCAGCAGACCGGAAAATTCTCACAATCCCTTACGCCTTATTGAAAGACATTTTCCTTCAATTTACCCCAAAAGACCTGAAAATAATAAATCTGTTGTCAAGCGGTGTGTTGTTTGTGCAAAACAGAATAAAAGAAGAGAAACAGCCTATAATTGTGAATCATGCAACGTAGTACTATGTGTTATAGGATGCTTTGAACGGTACCATACAGTACTAAAATTTTAATTTTTTTGTGTATTTTTTTTTATTAATAAAATATATTTTGATTTGCGTCTCAAAACTTATTTATTTCCGTAAATATACTTAAAATAATACTAAAAAATATAACATATTTTTTTTCTTATTAATAATATATATTTCGATTTTGATTTTCTTCTCAAAAATTATATATCTCCATATTTCATATATAAAATAATACTAAAAATATAATATCTAAAACCAAATTTGTGGACCAAAGCCGAATAAACTCGCAAGCACATCGGCTACGGTCCAGCGAGCACAACCGCCTGAAATCGGCGCGGTCCTGAAAAGGTTAAAAGATGTTAAAAAAAAACAGGCTAACTCCTTTTTTCCATTTCTTACTGAATATGTAAAAAGCTAACTCCTTTTATGGCGCAAAAAAAGTTTTAGGTTAAACAAAGTTATTTTTGATTATTATTAATACCAAGCCTTAAAAGAAAGAATTAGGATTTAGTAATTAACTGTAAGTATAATTATTCATGAACTGAACGGTTTTATGTTCATACTGAAAAATTTGCCTAAATGGAGTTAGCTTTTTTGCAGATTAAGCCATCGATATACACTTATAATTTTATATAATTTTTTTATAGCAACTCTAGAACTGGATCCATTAAACTATTTTTACTTAATATATTCGTTATTTCGTCCCCTTTCATTTGCTATGTCGCATGTTAGGATACATTCAGTTGTTTATTTTGAACTCTGCCAGAGGCCTTCTTTAAGTAAATAAATCAAAATTTGTCTTGGTTAAACCATTTTTATCCATAGTGCCCTATGACATCTCGTATGTAATTATACATTCATTAATCATGAAGACACTGTGTAGTGTCCTTTTGGTAGTCGCCTTGTTTGTTTTTTTCTCTCTCAATATATTCGTGATATTATTCCCTTTCATTTAACGTATCACACGCTCCAATCGAAACAATAACAAAGGAGATATGATGTAATGCACTATTAGCAATGCCGCTATGTTTTTTTTCTGTCTCAACATATTCGCTACCTCCCTCTTCTTTCCAATGATGTGTTTTATGTCACGCTTCGACGAACTACTCTATTCCACTACAAAACGCTCAAAAAATGAGAAGAATCAACCTTAACATTTTCTTATGGGATTTTACATGGGAATTGAAGCAGAAACAGATTAGCTTGTACTTAATTGTATATAATTCTTTAACTTGATTTAATTTTATTTTGGTAAAGCGTTGACGTTTGTTAAATGTCAGTTTATTTTATAGTGAGTGTATGTTTATCTTACCCAATGACATATAATAAATATATATTATACCAGATTGATCTTACCTACAATTGCAGTCCATCTAACAATAAATGAGTTTTTATAGATATTTGCATTATGTCAGGAAGAATGCAGGATGACCGCATATTAAGGTTAAGCCCATTGACTAATAGGTTACAAGAACTGGTACCTAATAACAATTTAATTGGGGATTCTGCCTATCCCCTTTTACATCAGTTGATGAAATCGTATCAAGATAATGGCCGCCTTAGTAGAACACATTCATTATAATACAAGATTGTCTATAGTGTATTTTTATGTATGAGAGAGTAATAAAACAATAAATTATGTAAATCATGAATGTGTTGCTTGTGTGAGTCCATTTCAAATAGGTAAAGAAATAATAAATAAGACTTACTCACAATCAATTTAATTTAACTATCAGTCGTCGAAACCGGTCGTCTGATAGTTAAATTAAATTGATTGTGAGTAAGTCTTATTTATTATTTCTTTACCTAATAAATTATGTATGCAAATCCATAAACTGTTGATACGAGTGACTCAATGAAAAACAGATATTTGTCAACAAGTTTACAGAAGTATATAGGAAAACAATTTTAAATTGAGTATGACCACCAGGTATAAAGGTTGGAGCAGAATAGAATACAATAGTTGCGAGGGTTACTAATCCCTAAATAAGGTTGCCAGTGTCGGAGTGATGGAGGTTAACAGGTACTAATGAATTTGCAAGAAATGTAAGATGTTTATTTTATTGGTTATATATAACCAATAAAAGTTTAATAAGTACCTACCTATTTGCAAAATAAAGTTTAATTCTTTAGATAAAATAAAACGTTTTATTTTATCTGAAATGAGTGCATTCCACGAAGTAACGGTTTCAACAATCAAACATTTAATTCTTTAATTCCAGGAATCTACGACAGTAATTGACTAGATAATTACCTTCTAAACTTATTCCACAGAAAATGTGATAGTGGGTTTTTCCATTTTGTAGGAAGGTCCAAGTGGCGTATTCAAAATTCTTAACAGTTCACTAAAAGTAGGTACTTCAGTTGCAAGGTGCAGTTTATTGTTTATACTAGTGTTATGGAAAATTTGGAAGTGCCGTGTTTAATAGTTAATGAAAAAACATTAATATTTAATTGTTTTAAATCATTTACAAACGTTTATGTGAAAGTGTTGAGACCGTTGAGTTAGTTAGCAGTACACTTGGTGTTGGGAAATCTACGATTTACAGAGTTATTAAAGAAGAGAAATGTGGTAGTTTTCAAATGCCACGTAATGCTCCAGGGAAACCAAAATTTCAAATAGAATATCATTTTAAAGAAGGACTTCGACGTAAAGTGCATGAATTCTTCTTTAGACAAGAATTTCCAACATTGGATAAAGTTCTTGTCTCGGTTCGAGATGATAAGGATTACCCAGAAATGAGTCGAAGTACGTTATGAAAACTTTTAAAAGAAATAGGCTTCCGCTGAAAAAAGAATCCCAGAAAGTCTATTTTATTAGAAAGAAGCGATATTGTCATATGGAGAAGACATTTTCTAAGAACCATAAAGGAAATTAGAAACCAAAAAAGAAAAATATTTTATCTTGATGAAACATGGATCATACACCAAAATAAATTTTGGCAGGATGAAACTGTTACAAGTCAAAGGCACGCTTTTGTAAATAACTTATCTACTGGTTTAAACCCACCATCAGGAAAGGGACGCAGGCTGATAATAGTACACATTGGCAGTTCAGACGGTTTTGTTGAAGGTGGTTTATTAACTTTTGAATCAACTCGTACCGGTGACTACCATGAAGACATGAACGCTGATGTCTTTCAAGAATGGTTCGAACAAATGATAGATCTTCCTAAGAACTGTGTAATAGTAATGGATAATGCAAGTTATCACTACAGACTTATAGAAGGACTGCCCACAACCAAGTGGTTAAAAAAAGAC